TTTTGAACTCCTGACCTCAGGTGATCCACCCGCCTTGGCCTCCCAAAGAGCTGGTATTGCAAGCATGAGCCACCATGCCCAGCCAAAACATTTTCTTACTATCACTTTCTAAAATGTTCAGAAATGCTACTTGGAGTTAGCCATCATAAATAGGTTTCAGTTAGGTAACAGAATTTGTGGGGACCATTCTCTATTGTAATCTGTGGACTCTGGTGCAGTTTAAGGAATTTCTTACCTGTGCCTTGATTCACAATTGAAAAAAGAACCCAACTCTGGCAGACCAAAGGGATGCATTTTAGCTAAAGATTTTTTATTTCTGGAAAATTGCAACTGCCTGAGTTACAACTGTTTGCATCTACTGATTTGGGTTGGACAACTTGTGAGACATGGTGGTAAAAACGGAAGTTACTTTTCTACTTCAAGGTTTCCAAGCTTCTGGCAGAAATTTAAAGAACATTTCTTATAGCACTCTGGGCAAGACACTTTTGCTAAAATGTCTTCCTTTTTCTCTGTCCCTTTACATCATTGTTAATATACTCCATCCATCATTTCAACTCCTCTACTCTTAGAGAATAAATCAAGAACTGTAAAATTGCTCAATAACAGAACTGAACTGCCCTGGAGGAAGAAGTGTTTTTTTTTTTTTTTTTCTTTTTTGAAATTCAGAGGGGAAATAATGGCATTTAAACTCTTGCCAGTAATTTTAAGTTTCTAAACATATATATAGATATAGATATAGATATATATGTACACACACACACACACACTCTCTTGAAAATTTATTCATATAAACCTTTATTTTCCTTCAAAATTTACTGGCTAAAATCATGGAAAAAAATACACTTTGTGAGGTCGAAGCAGATGGATCATGAGATCAAGAGATTGAGACCATCCTGGCCAGCATGGTGAAACCCCGTCTCTACAAAAAATACAAAAATTAGCTGGGCATGGTGGCGTGCACCGATAGTCTCAGCTACTCAGGAGGCTGAGGCAGGAGAATCATTGGAACCTGGGAGGTGGAGGTTGCAGTGAGCCAAGATTGCACCATATATATATATATTTGGAGATTAAGAGAAGGTGGAAAGTTGTAATTAGATAGGGTTTGAGTTCTTGGAAACACTATATGCAGGACTCTCTGGTATTTGGTATCCAAGAGATATTGTGATTCATATGTTCATCCATAATCATACTAAAAAGAGCTAAGTACTGTCACAAAAGCAAGTTTGGCTGGGTTTCTTACCAAGCCGATTTATGCCTGACAGTGGAAAGTTCCCATAGGCCACCAAAATTGAAATTGAGACTCTCAGGATAGAATCTCCTTAAGCTTTTTTTGAAATGTTGATTTGCACTGTTTGTCCACCTCTATGAGCTTACAAAGTTAGTCTTTTCAAATGCATATTGTCTGTCTTGAGAACATAGTACCAGTACTGTGATATCTTTTACAACAAAGGCAACATAATAGCTATATCAATGGCATCTTGTAGTTAGCATTTTTAAAATTATGACATATATATATTATATATGTGTGTGTGTGTGTATATATATATATATATATATGTATGTATTTTTTTTTTTTTGAGATGGAGTCTCTCTCTTGTCACCCAACCTGGAGTGCAGTGGCACACTCTCGGCTCACAGCAACCTCCGCCTCCCAGGTTCAAGTAATTCTCTTGTCTCAGCTTCCCAAGTAGCTGGGATTACAGGCGCCCACCACTGCACCTGGGTAACTTTTGTATTTTTAATAGAGACTGGGTTTCACCATACTGGCCAGGCTGGTCTTGAACTCCTGACCTCCCAAAGTGCTGGGATTACAGGTGTGAGCCACTGTGCCTGGCCTAAAAATTATTATAGATTACACCTTTTTCCAAAATGTTTTGGACCATTTAATTTTTTTCTCTTGAATTACCTGTTTGGTATCTTTTGCCTAATTTTCTGTTGGTGTGTTTGCCGTTACTGTTTATTGATTTATTAAATGTTGATTATTGATAACTAATTCCTTATTCATTGATTGCAACATGTATTTTATCAAATTTTCATCACATGCAGTGACACTTTTATGCCTAATAGGTTGTTTTTGCCATTGACATTTTCCATTTTTTTCCTAATTAGACCAGTTCACCCTTGGTCATCATAGATAAGAATGAATTTCAGACAGGATGAATTTCAGATAGAGAGTTGGTCTTTGCGGTTCTTCGGATGTCCACTACAGTTACGAGGTGACCTGGTTTCTGGTCCTCCTCCTGATATCACAGCAGTGTGACTGTGGGTGAGCTGTTATCCTCTCTGAGCTAATGTTTCTTCAAAACTAAAAGGAGTTAATAGTTTTATCACTTGCAGGATTATGAGAAGAAAAGCGGGGGAGGATGTGTAGGAAAGGATGTGATACATAGATGTAAATGAAAGGCAAATAAAATAAGCATTGCATAAGACTTTGTAGCCAGAACAACCTGAAAGACTCGGCAGGAAAAAAGTACTGTTAGAAGGCACAGCTAGCCATATGGCAAGTTATCCATTATGTTTTAAAAAAAAATACAGAAGCCTGTTGCAACTCCTGAAGACATTGTATTCCATGTAAATGTTGCCTCTGGAGTTGTGAAAATATTAATGGTGTTTTTTCTGGTGGGTAATGCTGTCATCTATATGCAAAAATCAAGGATTCTTGCTTTTCTCACTGGGAGCTGGGCCACCGACTCTCATAAGAAATGCATTCAATTCTATATGTATTAAATCCCTCAAGCAAGCAGCAAGTCTATAAGCTTAGGCTTCTGAGAAACATAATAGATTGAACAATTGTTTTAACAATTTGGTACAATTTTGTAATTCCAGAACTTTGGGAGGCTGAGGTGGGCAGATGAGGTCAGGAGTTCGAGACCAGCCTGGCCAACATGGTGAAACACCATCTCTACTAAAAACACAAAAATTAGCTAGGTGTGATGGTGTGTGCCTGTCATCCCGGACACTCAGGAAGCTGAGGCAGGAGAATTGCTTGAACCCAGGAGGCAGGGAGGTCAAAGTAAGCTGAGATCATGCCACTGGTTCACACCAGGGTGTGAGATGGCAGGTCATAGTAATCCACCCTCATGCCATCAAATTAAGAAAAAATATCTCAAGCTCACCCAAACAGAACATTCAGGATGCTCTTCTCCATGTACTTAAAAATGTGTCATCCTGGCTGGGCATGGTGGCTGATGCCTGTAACCCCAGCACTTTGAGGGGCCAAGGCAGGTGGATTTTTTGAGGTCAGGAGTTCAAGACCAGCCTGACCAACATGTCAAAATCTTGTCTCTACTGAAAATACAAAATTAGCCAAACATGGTGGTGGATGCCTGCAATCCCAGCTACTTGGGAGGCTGGGGCAGGAGAATCGCTGAGAAACTGGGAGGCGTAGGGTTCCCAAGTGAGCCGAGATGGTACCACTGTACATCAGCCTGGACAACCAGATTGAAACTCCATCTGAAAAAAAAAAAAAAGTGTCAACCCATTTTCTATTGCCATAAACCTAAAGTCCTTGATCTTTCATTTGACCTATAAAATAATCTGAGTCATTCTCTACTAGAGGTGATTTTTATCCCCCGGGGGAAATTTGACAATGTCTACAGACGTTTTTGGTTGTCATGACTCGGGGCAGAGATATTGCCAAACCTCCTCTAATGGACAGGAGGGAGGTCTTACAAGAAAGAATTACCTGGCCCAAAATGTCAACAGTGACAAGATTGAGTTAAATCTCCAATCCACGTTGACTCCAGCCCGTGCCCCTGTAGAAATGACTGTATTGGGAAGGGGGTATGCTTGCTCTGAACTTCTCAGGGTGAGGGATTTTAAATAATTTGAGACAAATACACCACGGGCACTTCATATAGATGCTTGAGTGAACATTTCCCACTAAATGGTGTTAGGGTATTTCCCAAACATGAAATAGTCGCCACGTGTTTCTCTGAGAATAAAATATAGCCACAGGATAGTCTGGTCAACAGAGTGAAACTCTGTCTTTACCAAAACATACAAAAATTAGCCAGGTGTGGTGGCACATACCTGTGGTCCTAGCTACTCAGGAGGCTGAAGCAGAATTGCTTGAACCTGGGAGGCGGAGGTTTCAGTAAGCCGAGATCCCACCACTGCACTCCAGCCTGGGCAATAGAGTGAGACACTGTCTCAAAAATAAAAACGCAGAATACACACACACACACACACACACACACACACACGAGATAACGTCCTTACTATCCTAAAGATCAGGAAGACCTTAGTCATACCTGTCTCTCTCTCTTTTTTTCCCTCCTTCCCCCATATATGTACACATATATGCTATACAACAACCTGTGTGTTTAGTAGTTTTATAAAGCTAATAGAACAGTCCAAAATAATACCTTTCATGGATTATCTATTTCACATTTAATCATTTTCTGAAAAGTAAGAGTTAGTTTTTGGTTGATAATCATGACATTTTAAGACTTCTGCCAAAGGCCGGGTGCAGTGGCCTATGCCTCTAATTCCCAGCACTTTGGGAGGCTGCAGCAGTCAGACTGAGTTCAAGTTTGAGATTGAGCAGGAGTTCGAGACCAGCCTGGGCAACATCGGGAAACCCCATCTCTACAAAAAATGCAAAATTGGCTGGGTGCAGTGCTGCGCACCTGGAAGGCTGAGGTTAGAGGATTGCCTGAGCCCAAAAGGCTGAGGCTGCAGTGAAATGTGTTCACAGCCATTGCACTCCAGCCTGGGTGACAGAGCAAGACCCTGCCTCAAAAAAAAAAAAAAAAAAAAAAAAAAAAAAAAAAAAAAAAAAAAAAAAGGCTTTTGCCAATACTGGGATCCTCATAACCACAATCAAATGGCTTACATTTCAAAATCATGGTAGAGTAGGTATTCAGCATTTTGTAACTGTTTTGGGAATTTTTAAAGGTTATTAAGTTCTGAATAACAGTCTCTCATGTTTTCCCACCAAGCTTTTCCCAGCAGTTGAATATATCTGGATCTTATTCTGGTTTTTATTCTTTTTTTAGCTTCCTGAAATGACTCATGTTCAAACACAACGACCCTGGATGATGTTTCTCCTGCAAAACTTTGGATTGATCCTAGGTTGGCTTTCTCTCCTACTCTTGGCTATATATGAGCAAAATATTAAAATTTAAGTTAGGATCTTCACCATCTTTCAAAAACGCATTGGTATAGTCTCACTTTGTTTCTTTCATTACACTCTACAATGATTTGTCAATTAAGTGTTTTTTATCTTAGGCAAAGTGTGTATCTTTTAATTCATTAACTTATTAATTTTATGATGCAGTTTTATTTTTGGAAACAGAAATGTCAGACTGTCCTTGATTGAAATCTTGTTTTTGGTTTCCAACACCATGATGAAACTCTTGCTTTTTAGGAAGTAGTTCGTAAATTCTGCATGAATTGTAATAAACTTTAAAAAATAGATCGTTTCCCTAAGAAAGAATGTTCGTAGCATGTAAAGTAGGCAGATGCCTGTTGGGATAAAATCAGCTGCAACTTCTTTGATGTTAATTTTTTTCCCTGTGCATTTATAAACTATAAGCAAATTAAGTGACAAGCAAATGTAATAAAGACTAGTTTTAATGTGGTGGTTTTTATTACCTTCTGTTACTGGATGTCAGATTCTGAGTCATCTCTTAAAAAACCAATATATAGTTCACCCACTGACTCAAGAGCGCTCGTGAACAAGCCATCTTGGGAGACCTAAAGGATGACATGTCAGCCATTCTTCCATGTAAGTCAAATGAAATCTCTTCCAGGCAAGGGGAGCTGGAAACATGAGATGAAGTTCAGAATTTTTAAAATAACAAAACTGGAGTCAGGCAGTAGATCAATGCCTAAACTCTCACCGATTTGACAGAGGATATTTATGGGAATGATCTCACTGACACATGAGATATATTTTACCTTCTTTCTGAGAAAACAGAATCTTGAACAAGGTTTCAGTTGGGAAGTTCATGAAATGTACATGCAATTTACTGATAACCTAGTGAAAGTATGGAAACAGAAAATAACCCTGGCTTTAGTCATTTTTCGTAGAAAATAGAAGCCTTATATTTTTCTTATTTTTTAAATGATGTATCTTGACAAGGGAAAGAAGCCTATTTTACTGCCAAAATGATTCATGGTGCTCAGTCAAAAACATCTCTCCTGTCTCTTACTTGCCTGTAGGTATTTTTTATTTATTTTTTTGCTACGCCCTACTCAAACACAATCTTGTTCATCCATCTTTCTTTGATTTCAAAATGACATGGATTTCTTCTCCAGTTATCTTTAGAGCTTCATTTAAGCAAGGGCCATGCATCATCACTGGATAGTGCAATAGTTCTAAAACTTTGCCACAAACAAGGATTAACTGGAATGCTTATCTATGAAAAACACAGATTGGCCTAGCATGACGGTTCATGCCTGTAAACCCAATGCTTTGGGAAGCCAAGGCAGGAGGATCATTTGAGACCACGAGGGGTTTGAAACCAGCCAGGACAACATAGCAAGACCTCATCTCTACCAAAAAAAAAAAAATATCCTTAACCTAGTGTGGTGCTGCATGCCTATAGTCCCAGCTATTAGGGATGCTGAGGCTGGAGGATCATTTGAGCCCAGGAGTTCAAGGCTGCAGTGAGCTATGATGGTACCATTGTACTCCAGGGCAACAGAGCAAGACCCTGTCTCAAGAACTAAACAAAAACACAGATTGCCAGGCCCCAGCCCATGATTGTGATTCTGTAGGTCTGGAGTGAGGTCTGTGACCTTGATTTTGAACCACTTCCATGTGATGCTGCTTCTACTGGATGGGGCACCACTCAGCACAACTGGTGTGATAGATGTTGGGCTGACTTGGCTTCAAGAAAGTTGAGGTACACACCTCTGTTGCCCTAGAGTTGAATCATGTGCTTTTGAGTAAGTAGGCTAACACATCTACAAACACCATGCTAGATTTGAGTTCTCAGATTTGAAACTCCCTTTTCTTTGTCCACTTGCTATGTGACATCAGATCAGTCCCAGGAATTACTGGATTAGGGTTCCATGCAGCACTTTTTTTCATATTCATATTTTCCCCAAAAGGTAAGCATATTTGACACATAGAGCTTTACCCCCCCCCCCCCCCCGCTTTTTTTAAGAGGAAAAACTGCAGCTGAACAAAAATCCCTTTGTACGGGTCAGCATGGTGTGGAAGTCAAAATACTTGGCACTATCTGTGTTTGGGTTTCTATGACTGGGTTCTGATTTTAACATTAAGCTTTAATTTATGCTAATTTAATTAGAAGAGTTCTGATGGACAACTTTGTTCCAAGTTCAAGTTTGGAGTCATTTGGAGCCGGCTAACTTAAAATTATTGGTATGAGCTGCTCACGTTCGAGTTAAGGGTAAGTTGAATTGACCCCTCTGCTGAGGTTGGAAATAGGATACAGAGAAGCTTCAAGGGAGTGAGCTGTCAGAAGGATTTAGAGGCACCTCCTCAGTGGGTGTTTGCAAGCCTATCACCAAAGTGCCTTTATTGTAAGCAGAAACCTGTGGTCATCTGCAGGAGTCATTTGAAGAATAGTGTGCTGTCATGGCTCCTGGGGACACCCTTCTAGCTCACCATCTCACCCCTTCTCTGCCTTATCATTCATTCAGTGTTCTTCCAAAGAGTCCAGGTTCCAGATTACAAACCCTAGCCTGAGATGGACCTCCAGCCACAAGCAATCTTAGAATTGCTAGAAAATCACTATTCCTCAAAACTGAGTGACAAGAATGAAAGGACGATGACAACTATTTGCCTTCTAAATATGCACAGAGTCTAAATTTGGGATGGCTACATAGCGTCATCGCTTTAAGCTATCTAAGTTATGTGTTACTCACTGATCTTTGGGGTGCATGGTGTTTTCCTTGAAACCAGATTTCTCAATAGCATGAGGGTGTTTATTTTTCCCAGGCATAAACTTAGCATTCCACTGTATTTCCACTTGGTGATTGACTTGTTTTTGTTTTTAACTGAACTAGAAATGCTTCCGGAGAAGAAGAGCAAATTGCACAAAAATCTTATGTGAACATCTATCATCTATGGACGGGGGCATATTTAGGGATGGGGAATTGGCCTGTGTTGCTGTATCGCTGAGAGCAGAGCCTGGGAACAGCAAACTCAACAAACTGGACACAACATAGGGAACGTGACTATTACCTGTGTAGATGACACCAACCAAGAAGACATGTAATTATGTCTAAAGGGAATGACACTTCTAGAAAAAATGACAATCAAACTGAAAGCAACTTAAATGATGGATGATAGGGTTGCATAAACCGCAGCGGTAAGCCTCAAACAGAATGCCCTTCGGCCCATGAGAATGATGCTACAGATCAGAAAGCTACATACAGAGCAGCAGCTTTCAATATATAGGTTTAAATTTTAAGCAATAAGACCCTTTTAGTAAAGAAAAACTTGGGTGGAATCTATACAGATGCTCTTGAAGCTGCCTTGGTAAAAGTCACAGAATGGAAACTGGGGCCCTAATTTCTTGGTCTCTCCCTTCACTTCCTACAGAAGTCTCCAAGGGATCCCTACTGATATTCTCGGAAGAATAAAATCCTGCATTGTAAGTAAATATTTCAAATATTTGTAGTTATAAAAAGTGTTCACAACCCATTGAGTAAATAAGCAATTTACCAACTGAGTATATAATTCCAGCATTGTGAATATACAGTATTATATATTACATATACGTCCATATTGAAAAATTTCTGAAAGACTATACAGTAAAATATAATATTTCCTAAGGGGTGGTATTTAAATGATATGTTTTTGCTTTTTTATTTAAAAAACCTTATTTTTTGCTATAGTTATGTTATATTTAGTTTTGGAAGAAGAAATGAGTAAAATAAATTTTTTAAAAAGTTATGTAAGAACTTTGGAATATTGGGCCAATATTAAGCAACCTGAAATTTCAGGAAGATAATGAATGAGGTCACCTTTGAGTTAAAAAATCTGCCATATGTGACTTCTGGATTCTACTCTGACATGTAAGAAACTTAGAAATCATTACAAAGAAAAAAATCAAACAAACTGAAAAGCAGCAACTCTTCTAAGGTCCTTCAGAAAGCAAAGATCACAGAGCAAATATTTGTCCTCAAAATTTAAGAGACAGATACAGAGAATTTCAAGTTATCAAGGCAGAAGCCCAGGAGCAGAAAACACTGCAGGACCCAGTACCAGCATCCAATAACAAGGTAGAAAAAACTGAAATGGGCATTGATTAGTTGCTTGAATTGCATTGTAGACAAGTTTGAGAGCTAAAAACTTGAGGATGGACCAATTTGGGGTGGAGGGCCCTCACTTGCATGACCTTTACCTCCAGGATCCTTACCAGATTCTCACAGTGAAGACTGGAGAAAAATGACTCGGTGCTTCTGGCATGGGGAGGGGGGACATAGCCATTTGGAAACACACCAGAGAATTCTACTCTTAACAAGATCTGCCCTCAAGAGAAGCCATTTTACCAGAGCCTAATGGATGTTTTACCAGAGACTAAGAGCCTGGAAAAAGAGAAATCCCCAATTCCAGCTCCCTCTAACCTTTCTAGCTACCTAAGGGAGAGAAAATAAAAACTGAGGTCACAGCCCAGGGACCCGGGCTCATTAAAAGGTTGAGTACAATAGGATTTCAGAACACTTCCCCTTCCCTACACCTTACAAACACATCAAGAGGGCTCTTGTATAATAACAAGGGTATGCAACTGTAAGAATTGTGACTCTCACATGTGATTTCAGAAGAGGTATCTAGAGAAATATAAAGACAACATGGGAGACAAAAACGAGGCTATCAGAGGAAATTTTAGCCTCTGACAACTACAACTCCAGCAGCTGCTAATTATAGCCTAACCCCTGGACAGATAAAGGACGAGTACCTCAGTTCCTTTCACTTTGTGTACCGTGTTGGCTTTCAACATAAAATTACAAGGCATACTAAAAGACAAAAGACATAGTTTGAAAACACAGAGCAAATATCAGAACCAGATTCAGATATGGCAAAGATGTTAGAATTATCAGACCTGTAATTGAAAACGGCTATGACTATGATTGAAACACAAAAGCCTCTAATGGAAAAAGCAGACACCATGCAAGAATGAATGGAAAATGTAAGCAAGGAGGTAGAATCTTTAAGAGAGAACAAAAGGGCTGGATGTGGTGACTCATGCCTATAATCTTAGCACTCTGGGAGGCTGGGGTGAGAGGATCACTTGAGCCCAAAAGTTCAAGGCCAGCCTGGGCAATGTAGTGGGACCCCAACTCTACAAATAATAGTTTAAAAATTAGCTGCATATGGTGGCAAGTGCCTGTGGACCTAGCTACTCTGGAGGCTGAGGTGGGAGGACTGCTTAAGCCTGGGAGGTTGAGGCTGCAATAAGCCATGATCATGTCACTGCACTCCAGCCTGAGAAAGAAGAGTGAGAGATAAAGAAAGAGAGGGAAAGAGAGAAACAGAGAAAGAGAGAGAAAGAAAGCAAAGGGAGGGAGGGGTGGAAAAGGGAAGGAAAAGGGAAATAACAGAAATCCAAAACATTGGAACAGAAGTGCAGAATGCCTTTGATAGGCTCTTCAGTAGACTGGA